GTCGCTGGTTCGACTCCGGCTCGACGGAAATGTGGAACGTTTCTTTTTGTAAATTATTATGTTGTGAAATATTAAGTAGGAAGAAGAGCACTTCTCTCACGCCCGTCGATAGGTCAGTTGGCAGAGCGGTGGACTGTAGCGGTGTATTGCTGGTATCCATAGGTCGCTGGTTCGACTCCGGCTCGACGGAAATGTGGAACGTTTTTTTTTTTGTAAATTATTTTGTAAATATATTTTCGATTCAGTGGCAATATTAATTGCTGGAAGAAGTCGCTGGTTCGACTCCGGCTCGACGGAAATGTGGAACTTTTTTTTTTGTAAATTATTTTGTTGTGAAATATTAAGCGGAAGAAGAGCACTTCTCTCACGCCCGTCGATAGGTCGTCGATAGCTCAGTTGGCAGAGCGGTGGACTGTAGAGGTGTATTGCTGGTATCCATAGGTCGCTGGTTCGACTCCGGCTCGACGGAAATGTGGAACGTTTTTTTTTTTTGTAAATTATTTTGTTGTGAAATATTAAGCAGGAAGAAGAGCACTTCTCTCACGCCCGTCGATAGCTCAGTTGGCAGAGCGGTGGACTGTAGCGGTGTATTGCTGGTATCCATAGGTCGCTGGTTCGACTCCGGCTCGACGGAAATGTGGAACGTTTTTTTTTGTAAATTATTTTGTTGTGAAATATTAAGCAGGAAGAAGAGCACTTCTCTCACGCCCGTCGATAGCTCAGTTGGCAGAGCGGTGGACTGTAGCGGTGTATTGCTGGTATCCATAGGTCGCTGGTTCGACTCCGGCTCGACGGAAATGTGGAACGTTTTTTTTTTTTGTAAATTATTTTGTTGTGAAATATTAAGCAGGAAGAAGAGCACTTCTCTCACGCCCGTCGATAGCTCAGTTGGCAGAGCGGTGGACTGTAGCGGTGTATTGCTGGTATCCATAGGTCGCTGGTTCGACTCCGGCTCGACGGAAATGTGGAACGTTTTTTTTTGTAAATTATTTTGTTGTGAAATATTAAGCAGGAAGAAGAGCACTTCTCTCACGCCCGTCGATAGCTCAGTTGGCAGAGCGGTGGACTGTAGAGGTGTATTGCTGGTATCCATAGGTCGCTGGTTCGACTCCGGCTCGACGGAAATGTGGAACGTTTTTTTTTTTTGTAAATTATTTTGTTGTGAAATATTAAGCAGGAAGAAGAGCACTTCTCTCCCGCCCGTCGATAGCTCAGTTGGCAGAGCGGTGGACTGTAGAGGTGTATTGCTGGTATCCATAGGTCGCTGGTTCGACTCCGGCTCGACGGAAATGTGGAACGTTTTTTTTTGTAAATTATTTTGTTGTGAAATATTAAGCAGGAAGAAGAGCACTTCTCTCACGCCCGTCGATAGCTCAGTTGGCAGAGCGGTGGACTGTAGAGGTGTATTGCTGGTATCCATAGGTCGCTGGTTCGACTCCGGCTCGACGGAAATGTGGAACTTTTTTTTAGTAAATTATTTTGTTGTGAAATATTAAGCAGGAAGAAGATCAATTCTGTCCCGCCCGTCGATAGCTCAGTTGGCAGAGCGGTGGACTGTAGAGGTGTATTGCTGGTATCCATAGGTCGCTGGTTCGACTCCGGCTCGACGGAAATGTGGAACGTTTTTTTTTTTTTGTAAATTATTTTGTTGTGAAATATTAAGCAGGAAGAAGATCAATTCTGTCCCGCCCGTCGATAGCTCAGTTGGCAGAGCGGTGGACTGTAGAGGTGTATTGCTGGTATCCATAGGTCGCTGGTTCGACTCCGGCTCGACGGAAATGTGGAACGTTTTTTTTTTTTGTAAATTATTTTGTTGTGAAATATTAAGCAGGAAGAAGAGCACTTCTGTCCGCCCGTCGATAGCTCAGTTGGCAGAGCGGTGGACTGTAGAGGTGTATTGCTGGTATCCATAGGTCGCTGGTTCGACTCCGGCTCGACGGAAATGTGGAACGTTTTTTTTTTTTTGTAAATTATTTTGTTGTGAAATATTAAGCAGGAAGAAGAGCACTTCTCTCACGCCCGTCGATAGCTCAGTTGGCAGAGCGGTGGACTGTAGAGGTGTATTGCTGGTATCCATAGGTCGCTGGTTCGACTCCGGCTCGACGGAAATGTGGAACGTTTTTTTTTTGTAAATTATTTTGTTGTGAAATATTAAGCAGGAAGAAGAGCACTTCTCTCACGCCCGTCGATAGCTCAGTTGGCAGAGCGGTGGACTGTAGAGGTGTATTGCTGGTATCCATAGGTCGCTGGTTCGACTCCGGCTCGACGGAAATGTGGAACTTTTTTTTTGTAAATTATTTTGTTGTGAAATATAAAGCAGGAAGAAGAGCAATTCAATTTCCTGACACCCGTCGATAGCTCAGTTGGCAGAGCGGTGGACTGTAGCGGTGTATTGCTGGTATCCATAGGTCGCTGGTTCGACTCCGGCTCGACGGAAATGTGGAACGTTTTTTTAGTAAATTATTTTGTTGTGAAATATGAAGCAGGAAGAAGAGCACTTCTGTCCCGCCCGTCGATAGCTCAGTTGGCAGAGCGGTGGACTGTAGAGGTGTATTGCTGGTATCCATAGGTCGCTGGTTCGACTCCGGCTCGACGGAAATGTGGAACGTTTTTTTTTTTTGTAAATTATTTTGTTGTGAAATATTAAGCAGGAAGAAGAGCACTTCTCTCACGCCCGTCGATAGCTCAGTTGGCAGAGCGGTGGACTGTAGAGGTGTATTGCTGGTATCCATAGGTCGCTGGTTCGACTCCGGCTCGACGGAAATGTGGAACGTTTTTTTTTGTAAAAATATTTTTTGTTGTGAAATATTAAGCAGGAAGAAGAGCACTTCTCTCCGCCCGTCGATAGCTCAGTTGGCAGAGCGGTGGACTGTAGAGGTGTATTGCTGGTATCCATAGGTCGCTGGTTCGACTCCGGCTCGACGGAAATGTGGAACGTTTTTTTTTTTTTAAATTATTTTGTTGTGAAATATTAAGCAGGAAGAAGAGCACTTCTCTCACGCCCGTCGATAGCTCAGTTGGCAGAGCGGTGGACTGTAGAGGTGTATTGCTGGTATCCATAGGTCGCTGGTTCGACTCCGGCTCGACGGAAATGTGGAACGTTTTTTTTTTTAAAATTATTTTGTTGTGAAATATTAAGCAGGAAGAAGAGCACTTCTCTCACGCCCGTCGATAGCTCAGTTGGCAGAGCGGTGGACTGTAGAGGTGTATTGCTGGTATCCATAGGTCGCTGGTTCGACTCCGGCTCGACGGAAATGTGGAACGTTTTTTTTTTTTGTAAATTATTTTGTTGTGAAATATTAAGCAGGAAGAAGAGCACTTCTCTCACGCCCGTCGATAGCTCAGTTGGCAGAGCGGTGGACTGTAGAGGTGTATTGCTGGTATCCATAGGTCGCTGGTTCGACTCCGGCTCGACGGAAATGTGGAACGTTTTTTTTTTTGTAAATTATTTTGTTGTGAAATATTAAGCAGGAAGAAGAGCACTTCTCTCACGCCCGTCGATAGCTCAGTTGGCAGAGCGGTGGACTGTAGAGGTGTATTGCTGGTATCCATAGGTCGCTGGTTCGACTCCGGCTCGACGGAAATGTGGAACGTTTTTTTTTTGTAAATTATTTTGTTGTGAAATATTAAGCAGGAAGAAGAGCACTTCTCTCACGCCCGTCGATAGCTCAGTTGGCAGAGCGGTGGACTGTAGAGGTGTATTGCTGGTATCCATAGGTCGCTGGTTCGACTCCGGCTCGACGGAAATGTGGAACGTTTTTTTTTTGTAAATTATTTTGTTGTGAAATATTAAGCAGGAAGAAGAGCACTTCTCTCCGCCCGTCGATAGCTCAGTTGGCAGAGCGGTGGACTGTAGAGGTGTATTGCTGGTATCCATAGGTCGCTGGTTCGACTCCGGCTCGACGGAAATGTGGAACGTTTTTTTTTTTTGTAAATTATTTTGTTGTGAAATATTAAGCAGGAAGAAGAGCACTTCTCTCACGCCCGTCGATAGCTCAGTTGGCAGAGCGGTGGACTGTAGAGGTGTATTGCTGGTATCCATAGGTCGCTGGTTCGACTCCGGCTCGACGGAAATGTGGAACGTTTTTTTTTAAATTATTTTGTTGTGAAATATTAAGCAGGAAGAAGAGCACTTCTCTCACGCCCGTCGATAGCTCAGTTGGCAGAGCGGTGGACTGTAGAGGTGTATTGCTGGTATCCATAGGTCGCTGGTTCGACTCCGGCTCGACGGAAATGTGGAACGTTTTTTTTTTTTGTAAATTATTTTGTTGTGAAATATTAAGCAGGAAGAAGAGCACTTCTCTCACGCCCGTCGATAGCTCAGTTGGCAGAGCGGTGGACTGTAGGGTGTATTGCTGGTATCCATAGGTCGCTGGTTCGACTCCGGCTCGACGGAAATGTGGAACGTTTTTTTTTTTTAAATTATTTTGTTGTGAAATATTAAGCAGGAAGAAGAGCACTTCTCTCACGCCCGTCGATAGCTCAGTTGGCAGAGCGGTGGACTGTAGAGGTGTATTGCTGTATCCATAGGTCGCTGGTTCGACTCCGGCTCGACGGAAATGTGGAACGTTTTTTTTTGTAAATTATTTTGTTGTGAAATATTAAGCAGGAAGAAGAGCACTTCTCTCACGCCCGTCGATAGCTCAGTTGGCAGAGCGGTGGACTGTAGAGGTGTATTGCTGGTATCCATAGGTCGCTGGTTCGACTCCGGCTCGACGGAAATGTGGAACTTTTTTTTAGTAAATTATTTTGTTGTGAAATATTAAGCAGGAAGAAGAGCACTTCTCTCACGCCCGTCGATAGCTCAGTTGGCAGAGCGGTGGACTGTAGCGGTGTATTGCTGGTATCCATAGGTCGCTGGTTCGACTCCGGCTCGACGGAAATATTTTGTTGTGAAATATTAAGCAGGAAGAAGAGCACTTCTCTCCCGCCCGTGCTCAGTTGGCAAGCGGTGGACTGTTGTTTTGGTATCCATAGGTCGCTGGTTCGACTCCGGCTCGAAAAATGTGGAACGTTTTTTTTTTTTTTTTTGTAAATTATTTTGTTGTGAAATATTAAGCAGGAAGAAGAGCACTTCTCTCACGCCCGTCGATAGCTCAGTTGGCAGAGCGGTGGACTGTAGAGGTGTATTGCTGGTATCCATAGGTCGCTGGTTCGACTCCGGCTCGACGGAAATGTGGAACGTTTTTTTTTTTTTTTTTTGTAAATTATTTTGTTGTGAAATATTAAGCAGGAAGACCATGTTATTACCGCTTATTGGTAGCACGAACCACACCCATTCTTTTTAGTTGCCAGGTTTCAAAGTGAAACACAATAAATTGAAACAGGAAAAATAAAGTGATGCAGGAAACAAAAAACTTATTAGGAGTGGCAACACTAAGGAAAAATATTAAGAGCACTGCATATGACATATAATTGTAGCATGAAACAATAAAAATAGTAATAAAATGTGACAATGAGAGTTAAAAAA